TAACCTCTAGAGAAAGTCAGGGATCGAGACGAAAGCATTACATTAGTAGGAATACTTCATGCTATAATATGAACTATTGTAGTCAATTGAGTTTCGTTGAACTCGATGATTACTGGAAATATGACAAACATTCATCGCAATAGTAAGTGATAAACATTGGATTTATGATCTATCGATAAGATAAAAGTGTTCCAAATAAAAATAATGTAGAAATAAAGAATTTTTATGGACAATAGTTGAGGCGAACAAATAAGACTCAAAATATTAGTTGGTAGTTTTGCTTGAGATATTCATTCAGACATCCTTAAAAATTAGATGATTGTAACGAAAGAATACACTTACAACCACTGATACAATGTTAATCAGTGCTAGTGACTTATATCTTGCTAAAAATTTTTTACTCGTAAGTAAAATATCTTCTTAACTAAACTCTAAAAAAATTCTATTAATGAGTTTTGTCATAATATTTTCTAACTTTGGATGTGATATAATTATTCTGTCTTTGACAAGTTGACGTCTTCAGTAGAGGTAAATATGTGATTCTTTTTTAGAGTTTGTATATGAGTCACTATCTGCTTTATTTTATTGTGTGGTGGTGGTAATTCAGATATATATTTGTGAATTGAATCGAATGTTCGTGTCAGCAACAGTGTTAATCATGCATTTGAATTTATAAAGTTGGCGCTAGAAAAATTACAAGCCTATTCCGTATGAAAAATATTTTATTGTATGCATAGAAATACTCTAATTTTGAAAACCTATCGAGTTGATTTCTTTATTCGTTCTGTTTTATAGTTTAGATCAAATGTGATGTCATTTGAATTATTTTCGAAAATTTATGAATCATAAGATATTGATATTTGTTTATTTGGAAAGAGAACTAACCAACATGATCAGAATAATAAAGCTAAAAAAGATCTAAAAAATATAATGTAGTCAAATTTATTTACAGAAATTTTGAAAAAAAAACTTTGTTTAACATGCGGTCCAAATTTGACTCCCATTTGCAAGGATAATTAGATTGTTGATCGAAATGAATTTTGTTGATAGTCAGATTGTCGAGAAATTATTGTCGAAAAATCTTGGTCGACACAACATTTTATGGAAGAGCACATTTCATTGAAACAACTTTTGCTTCTAGTCAATCATAGAAAGATAATTAGAAGACACGTTTGAAATTTTGTCCTGACGATAAAAGAATGAGAAAAATAACACAGTTATCTTTTGACGAAACATTCCGTCAACAAAATATACTGCCAATAAAATATTCTGTTGACGAAATGCTTTTCTACAAAATATTTTCGACGAAAAGTCTGTCGACGAAATTTGAAAGTATTCTTAAGTCAAAACTTTCGCGACTAATTAAAAGAATCTGTGCCTTGATTCAGAACTTACAGACATATCATCTGATCCGTTAATTCTTGACTATTTTCTGTTGATTGTTAGTCCTTGCAGTAAAATCTTTCCTCTTACTTTCTTTTTGACAATTTTTACACACTGCTACCATGAAAATAATGATGATCAATATGTTCGAAAGCATGTCTACTAGAATTATGTGATGCAAATCAAATTACATTATGTTCTTTTTACATTATCAAATTGTTACTACACTGAAATATTGCTCAATTGTGTTACAAGTCAGATACTCGTTTTCTACTGCAAGAAAATATTGGAAATAATTGTTTATGCTTTCATTCGAAGTAAAAATATTATTAATTAATAATCAATATGAAAGGACCTATTCTTGCATTAGTAAAACCTAAAGATCCATTGTTTTTGGCAGAATTCATGTACCTATTCATATTTTCCCCATACGACATATTCTACTTAAATAAAATGAGATATTTTAATCTTTGAAGAACATCAAAATAAATTTTACTTGATGCGTATCGTGAGAAGAAGACAAACAGAAATTTATCATCCGCTTCGACCGTCAGCATTACATACATTTATAACGATGATGATTATAACATCGTGAGAGCAAAATATATACATGTATATTTATCTGAATAAGATACTTCTATCGACAAGTCTATATTAATATTTTAAGTTAAAGCCTGGCCAATTTACTGATGATGGCTCAATGGCATTATGTTTAGCTGTCGCTTTATTGGGTAGTGACAGCAATACTTCACTTATTCATCCATCAGTTGTACAAATGAATTTATATCGACGTTGGTATGACACTGGTTATTTATCATCAACTGGAGAATGTTTTGATATAGGAATAACTGTGCGCACTGCCCTAAACCCATTTATTTCTCATTATGATCAAGCTGAAAGTAATAAATTAACTAGTGCTACTGCTTACTATGGAAATGCAAGCAACAATGCATCTGGTAATGATTCGTTAATGCGATTAGCACCGATTCCCTTGCTTTATCATCAAGATCCTCTTAATGCTATGATCGAAGCAGTTAATTCATCAAAGACTACGCATGCTTCATTACTATGTTTAGATTGTTGTAGAGTATACACGGCTTTAATCATTGGTGCTTTACAAGGAAGTACTAAAGAGAAGCTATTGCATAGTGAGGAATTATAGGTTCCGGATGGTTTACCGAATGATTATTGGACGACAAAAGGAATCTCACCACTTGAACCATCTGTTCTTGCAGTGATGACTGGTTCATACAAACATTGTAATCCTCCTCAGATCAAAGCTTCAGGATTTGTTATCGAGACAGTGGAAGCAGCACTATGGGCATTTTATCACACAAATTCATTTCAAGAAGGTGCACTAAAAGCAGTAAATTTAGGAGATGATGCTGATACAGTGGGAGCAATTTATGGCATGTTGGCAGGAGCTTATCATGGAGTTAATGTCATACCCACCGAATGAAAGGAGAAATGTAGTTTTCAAGGCTTAGTGTAAACAATAGTAGATGAAATATTAATACAATCACAGCAGCTAAGGGCAACGGCAGAGAAGAAAGCAGCTCCATCCAATAAGCCATCACTGATATATAGAAAAGTATTGGAAGTATACAATGAACTAGCTACATTTTATTCAGGAACGATTAAACGTCGTGTATTGCCTTGTCCTAAGCAATATAAATCTATTAAACAATTTGATGAAGACACCACACAATTTCACTCAATTTATGAGAATACTCTCAAGTCAATTCAATTGCGAGAAGAATGGAAAGAAGCTACTACCAATGATGAAAAGCAGTTGATTTTGAGTCGTTCTGATTCAATTTTAAAAGAATTTCTACGTCTCATCGAGGAAGATAAACATTTATTAACCATAAAGTGGTCAAGAAACTTGAATCATCTCCAAGTACACAAACGTCTTGCCGCTACTACTTACTCATAACAGCCTATAAAGTTTATCGCTATCAGACAGCAGCTGAATCTCTCTTTATCAAATCAACCACGTTTTTTTCTTAACATATCTATAGCTGCTGTATTGGCAAATCATCTTCGAAAAATATGCGAAATAAAACAATAGCATGAGAGTGTATCCAGTAACTCAGCTATCCTGTTCAACTGAAGTATGAACGTGTGATGGCAATAGAAACTTTCCGAATGCTATTTTTCCTCTTTTTATGAAACTCTCATAATAACCACGATTTTTAAGGCACCCATTAAAGTATGTTCGTAAAAGAGAGCCATTTTTCGACTCTTCTTTCCTCTGTCTGCTTTTTTTCGCTTTTTACAAGACCCTATTTCCCTTCTTGTATGGATGCGTGCTGTAATTCTTTTCTGACAAATTTATGTGCACATTTTCTTTACTCGGTCTTAGAAAAAAAAGCATACAAAAGCGTGAAAAAAGAACAGTATCATAACCGCTATTTTCGAGTAACGAATTACAATCTAAATTATAATTAAGAGAGAGAGAACGTCACAGAACCATCCTACCGTTCATATAGCCAGCTGGAGAAAAATTTTTGATTTTCAATTTATATATCTCAAATAAAAGAAACAGCCGAGTCGTGCTCAAATTCAAAATATCAGGTCATCTCATTTTGTCCATGGAAAATGCGAGCTGAAACACTCTTTCATGCGAGAATGTTATGCATTCCACGATTCCAGGAACGAGAAACACTCTCGCAGGAAAGGATAAGTAACAAAGTTTACCAACCTTCGTACATTGAAAAAATACTGCAGAATGCAAGTTTGAGATGTGTTTCTGTTCCTTTGGGAATGGAACGCTGACATGCTACATCACTCACGCTTCAATTTTTTTTGAAATAGATGAAGTCTCGCTTTTTCCTCTTTGATACAGCAAGAATCACGTGAAAATACATTAGAATAAAATTGCACAAACAAAATAGTAGAATCATATATGATGAAACATGTATCAAAAATAAGATTAGAAAAAGATTAAGCCGTATTATTCGATAATATCTCTCTAGCCAAAGAACAACAAGCCCATTTAAGTATCATCCATCGACCTGATGGTATTTTACATTTTGTTGGCGCATCTGGATGTGAACATGGTATTGTAGCTACTTTTTTCCATCCGCGATGATGTAATTTCCATAATCTTGCAATACGAATTTTTAACCCACGTTGTCTAACATATGCATATTCTTTATTAACAAGATGTCTTAATATATGTGGTGGACTAAATGGAACACTACGATCACGTGGTAATATACCCATACCACCACCAATGCATAAATTATTTATATCAGCATCAACTTCACCATCCACATAAGATCCATCAAGAGCAAATTCAACTTTTATACTACCATATTTATTGTAATTATTAATGGGTGTTAATACTAATATACCTAAATAATCTTTTGATGTAGCACTAGGTGATTTTAATCGGGGGTGGGTTTATCGTATAACTTCATCTACACCCACGCCCACACCCAAAATCAAATTCAGCAAAATAAGCAAGATGTAAACAGATGACTCTCTATTATTGAAATTACTTTAGGTCAATTATATCACTTGAAATCAATTAAAGAATTCACTCGACAATTACTTATCTTTTATGTTCAATTAGAATTTCTTCAATCACGATACTAACCAACGATATCAATTAAACACTAGAGAGTTGGTTTTACTAAATGAATTTTTTTACTCTCATCAAATTTATTTTTTATGTAATCAATTAAAATACATTTATAATTCAGGATAAATACAACTAAAACTGATGTCACTATTTAAATTAACTCAAAAGACTTTATTATGTCAATAAAGAAAAAACAAGATCTCAGAATAGTTACGATTATTGAAAATTGTCATAAAAAGTTGCGCGATGTTTCAAATATGTTTACTATAGAATAACCGAAAATACACTTCTGCAAAAACGAAATTCTTCTATTTACTTTATAAGGGAAGTAGTGTTTTATACTGTTTATATTCTCGTGGTTTTTGTGTATCAGCAGATTTTTTAAAAATTGGGAAGGTGGCTTAGAGGATTGCAGGACATTTGCAGGTTGGCAGTTATGGAAGTGTCATTAAGTTCGGATTCATCACCGATAGAGTAATGGTAACTCAATGAATAGAAAAGCCTATGATGTAGTGTATTGATTAGAATTTATTCTGAATTATCAGTTTTGCACTGATGAAAGTACTTGTAAGAGTTCTAACAGAATTCAGTTGTGTCGAGTTCAGGAACGGTGTCTACCGTTTGTTCGATCGCTTAGATGTTAGTTGTGTGCCTTTGGATTTAGAATAAAGTAGTATCTTATTGGGAAAAGCTATTCAATATTGGCATTGGACTTAATGAAAGGAAGTGAAATGTTTCGGAAGATTTTTAGAGTGATCTCTTAGATAGGTTGAAAGTGATTGAATGTTGAAACGCATGGGAGCAGGAGTTCGACGTCGTTTCTTGGGAACTGGATTGTCTATAATCCTTAGCTGTTGTCGTATTTCAGTAATGTGTTTAGGAAAGTATGTGCTTGGTTTGTATTCTCAGTTCACATCTTGTAGTGATGAGAATCCAAATGGTGAGGCTTCAAAGTTCGGTGGCAATTTTCTGCTGTAATGTTCCACAGTTTGAAGATCGGCAATGGATATTTATGAGGATGCTCTGATAAATAGGCCGATGCTGGTTGTCAATGTAATGCATTAGAGAGATTCAGAATGATTTTAAATTAACTGTCGCATCTTATATGTCGGAAAGTATAGACATTCCGTTCTATTGGAAGTTCAGGAATTGAGAAATAGATTTGCCTAGCTGGAAGCCCATTTCTATTTTCGTTATATATTCATGTGAAACATAAGGTCGACATTTGAGCTTGAGAATTAGGACGAAAAAGTTACAAAACTTAGACATTTCAGGTGCCCCAGGAAGGATAAATAACTTTTAAGCAGAATTCTTTAGTTGTGATTGCAATACCCTATCGCTTTGTAAAGTTTCGGTGCAAAGTGTTAGATAAATTGTGTGAACTCTTCCATTCGAAACATGAAAGTTGACGTCCGCAAAACAAAATTCTAAACGACAACAACGTGGTTAGTTTTTCGAAGCAAAATGCTAATTTTTCCAATTTCAATCTTTTGTATAATATGATATGAGCATATAACTAGTTACTTTGTAATAGTCATACGTCTCTATATGCCTCAAATTATCAATAAGAATTTTAGAATTAGTTGAAAGTGAATTATCTTTTTACGGTTGCCATTAGAAGTACTAGTTTTCAAGTAAATGTTGGAATAATGCTTAAAAAATCCTTACAGCTCTGCAAAAGCAGGGCATTTCGAACTCTACTATGTTTATTTGCAGAGACATAGCATGCTGATTGTATTTAATCAGAAGATATTCAATAGTCTTATTACACTCAATAGCATCTTTTCTTTTGATTCGGCTAAATGTAAGGGTGAAATTTTACAACCGATTCAGTTCAGTCCGTAAAGAAATCGGAGTTTCTTTAGTAATGCTATGTTTTGACGAATTTTGTGAGATACTAGAGGATAGAAGGAATTTTATAACACCAGATATCTGATTTGCACATATTTTAAGCATGCTACAATGCAGTTTACAAAGCTGACGGCTTGCTCTTTCATATTAAGTAGTGCACCTTTGCATTTTCAACTTTTTAAAAATAAATCATCGAACAGTGTGGCAGAAAAGTTTTACCACAGCCTTTTATTATGAATACAGAAAAAAAATATTCAGATTATACATAAACTAATTTTTTATAAGGACTAACCCATATCTTCTGGGTCACTCGAGAACATCAACTGCGATTTAGCTAGTGATATTAACGTTAGTGATACTATGGAGTACCATATTCATGAGTTTGTCCTTCATGGTGGCATGTTTTTATTTATCGATTTTTGATTGACTTACATTTTGACGAGTGGTAATTTTTCACTCGTCGTGGTGAGTAATCGTGTTGTGGTAGCTTCACACAGATTATATTTATTGATTTTACATTTGAAAATATATGTGAAGGTTTGAAATTTTAATCATAGACATTTACCAGACAATCAGCTCGACTGTTCTCTTTACTTGTATTACTAGTTAATTTTTATTGGTTAAGTGCATACTGATTCTCAAATAGTTTATAAACCGACTGATTCTCTGCGGTTGAGATAAATAAAATCTTCTGTATACTATGGATTTTTTGCTACACTATACTTCTTTCTTGTAATTCTGAAGTCAGTTCATTATTTGAATGAATAAAAAAGGGTAAAGAGTTGATTTCATTTCTTATTTTTTAAACTTGGTCATACTTATTATCAATCTGCACTTTGCGTTTTTTTTTCTATGCTAGATATGATATATGCGTAGTTTCTTGTTGATTTTTTATTTCTGTTTATTCAAAAGGCCATTTGGTAATTTTTGAAGATGATAACAAACATATATATAAGGGTAGTTTGAATTTAATAAAAGGTATTATTTATAGTTAGAAGCACACTGTTTGATTAAAGAAAACTTTCTTTCTTGACGTTTCATCTAAGCTTTGTTTTATTTTTAGATATATATAATCTGTGAAATAATGAATCGATTGATTCTTTTTTTAATACTTTGTTTTACTTTCTTATTAATTACACAAAAATCCAGTGTACATGCTGATACATGTTTACATAATGAACCTTCAAAATGTACACAAGCTGATAATGCAAATGAAATAACAGATCAAGAGAATGATCAATGCAATAATTTATGTATTAATGCAGGACATGTATCAGGACATTGTTCAGTATCATCAGACTGTTTTCAATATTGTTTATGTCAAGAAAAAGGATTGTAAAAACATTTTTCTTTCTTATCTTTTTAAAATATATGTTAAAATAAAAGAAAGTTGACACTAATTTCTATTTAAAAAAATATCGATTGATTCACGACAGTCTTGATAAATCAAATGAGACGACTTTTGCTCAATTCTAGCTGTGACTTAGTCCTATGATTAATAGGATTTTAAATGATCCTATTGTTTTCAGATTATTCAATGTTTTTTTTTTTTATATAGAATTAGTTATTCGATAAATTAATTTATATCATTACACAAGAATAGCTTATTACTAGTTGTTTCTAAATGATTAGTTCTATTATATTTATCAATAGCAATAAAGATCCAGGAATACAAGAGCAAAAATCATCATAATGTAGGCATATCCTTATGATGTCTATTTTGATTTTGGAATGAATAGATTTAATCTATCATGGTAGTAGTAGCATAATAATTTTAAAATATCATTGTATTTGTGTTGACAGGGTTTTGGGTTCAATAAGAAGAAAATATTTCAAACTAAGCTTTGGTCGATAAAATGGATCAAAATCATGGCGTTAACCTTTATCTCTAATTTTTCTTTACCAGATTGAGATAAAATCAATCGATTTACTTGAAATTCGCCGCAATGTCGAAGATAGATAGATAAAATATTATATGCATTATCTTTTTCCACTGTAATAAGTATTTACATACCATGCCAACACTTTTTTAATTTTTAGACCTTTCTCCTCTTTGTCTGTCAACTCTTGTCAATACTCACACCTGTTCGGATTCAAAAATGCGAAATCGCAGTTCTATGAATCTTCAGTCCATGTTATACAACTCAAGTATCTTCTTGCCTAAATCATACTCATTTGATTACTTGACTGATGTGCAGGGATCCATATGAGGCCCCATAAATTAGTATCAGTTCGATTTGATGATTGAGTTTAGAATTCGGATTGATTTGCATTCATACAAATATATGACAAGAAATGTCAACAATTAGATAATGCATTAAACTGTTATTATGACAATACATTAGTAAATGTGATCAAAACGCACATAATTTGTTTTCACTAGTGTATTATTTTTTCTACTAATTCAACCATATGTATGTTAAGAATACACAAGGTATATAAGTTGTAGTGTGTAGAATAGCTTTAGAGTTAAGTATTATGCTACAAAATTAGCCGAAGAAAGTCCTATTATATATCATTCGATGCAGCAGAAAATGTCTAACGAAACTTTATAAAAATATACATGATATACAATACCTATCAAACTTTTACACAGATACTATCGGCTAGCTAGCTTGCATGCTCTATTCTCTATTATTCGAAAAAATCCTGGTACAATTTTTTTATGCATAGATAGCTTTTAGTATGCTGTGGATAATTGCATACATATCGGAGTTTGAAATCCTGGGACAATATCTTATATTATTACTATAGGAATGTCGTTATAATATCAACTATATTAGAAACCAAATTGCTAATGCAGCATGAGAGTAGTATCCTACAACTATTGAGCATCAGGATAACTACAAAAAGAGGCTAGTACTTGGTTTAAGTGGAATTAGATGTATGCATATATTGGCAAGGTTTCTAATGTGCTGATTGGAATCAAATTCTGATAATGTTGTGTGCATTGGTACGTGCACATGTTGAATTGGAAATTTTACGCTTGGATCTGTCAGATCTATAGACCCAACATGCTCTTCCGAATAGCTTCGGCGCTTTTTAATTAACTAACGAGGGACCTACTCCAACTGGTATCCATCGTTTGAGATCATATTGAACTGAGAAGAAGACTTCAGTAAGATTAACAAAAATCTAAAAAGGTTATTCTCTAAGAACCTTTAGCACAGATTTATGACCGATTTACTGGACTTTCGACTGATTTGTGGATATAAGATGTGAGAATATTCTCTCACCCACAATGACGCTCATATCCACGGTGTATCAAGATCATTGAAGTAGTTCGCAGATTTCGAAATATCTTCTTCATTGGATTGTGTCACCGAAAGGCTAGGGACTCAATAATTATAAATCGCTTCGTAGATTTATCCGTTGATAACTCTTAAAAAGAGTTACAAACAATTCTCAAATTCAGTCTCGTATAATGAGAAACTAGCTTCTTCCATATCTCTGATTAGTTTCTGCTCGGTTAGATTAATAATATCGGCAATTCTAAATGGTTATAGACTGGTTGAGGTGTTCACGGACAAAGACAATACTTTGGTTTCACTCGATTTTTTACTTGTATTCGATTGATTTTCCTAAACAACCTATATTTTGCCCAAAACGAAGAAAATGTCCAAGAATACACCAATTTTATTTCTAAGAAACTTTACTTTTTAAGCAAAATATAGTTAAAGTTCAAAGTATTGTATTTATAAGGAAAGTTCTTTGAAATAATTCCTTTTTTTACCAGTCTATTCCTACTAAATTCATGAAATACTAAAAATGATTGATGTTACTGATGCTCTTAGATCTCTGAGATAAATCAATATTGTTTAAAGATATTCCTCTCTTTCAAATATATAGAGTCGTCTACTATATGTGCACAAGCTGTTGAAAATATATCATTTTTTTAATTTTCTAAAAACAAAAGCTTGAACTTTTCTTTGTTGCCAACGATCAGTTCGCATTCTCTATTTAGTTCTATATATAAGAATCAGTAACTCAAATTATTCTTCCGATCTTTCAGAAGGCTTTTCTTGAAACTTATGTATTTTTCGAGTCTCTCAGACAAGGTTTCTTTCTCTTTCACAAAAGGGTGAAGCACATGTCGATATGAAAAAATAAAACAATCAATGTTTTAAGAGAGCTTCAGAATATAGTAGATGTAAGATCGAATTTTTCACAAAAAAGACGCTCGTATTGACAGTGTTTGAAGAAAAATGTCCGGATTACTTGATGATAAGTCAAAGACATTTTCAGTCTGTCTACTGACGAAAGCCACAATATTTTAATCTTTCTTGTAGTTATCAAATTAAGATTACAAATTACAACAAATGTGTTTAGATATTTTTTGACTGTTCTAATGTCAGTATCTAATAGAAAAATAGCTGAAGATTACATATAGACACTTCGTTATAAACAAAAATCTACGATTTCTTCCATTGAAAGTCAAAGCTGAAGTATTGTAAAGAAAATATTAAAAATTCCAATAAATTAATATACTTAGGATTTGTAAATTTTTTTTTGAATACAAAATCTTTCAAAACACAATCAAAACAAGGTATCTCGTCTATAATCTTTACACCTACTTCATGTCAAACTGTTAATGTTGGCAATCAATGAGAAAGTAAATGGCTGTTTGACAACATGAATGTTTACAAATAACAAGAAAATACAATATAGACAATAGAATAGGTAGTAAATTGTAGCTGATATCTTGTCTAATTTCACATTTGAAAACATTAACAATCAAAAGACAACTGTGAGTGGCCTCTGCAGATCAAATATAACTTCGAAATCACAATAAAACTTTATTTTCTTCTATCCTATTGGAATTTATGAACGATATTTTCTTCAATGTGCTGATGCCTGATAAAAGGCATATCATTTGCCGAGATGATGGTGTTTGAAAGTGTCTATATTTTTATATAAACAATTAATCACCGTGCTTTAGTGCCTAGCAATTCTATAGTGTTCTGACTACTACTCCAGTACACCAAGTATCATGCAGTAGATTCAACCAAATCAAAACTTTCATCAACACCAATAGAAAAAACCCTATATTTAAAAAAAAAATGTAAATCCTATACGAAATCCTATATTCTCAAAAACTCTCAGTCGAAGGTCATTGGTCACTGATTCGAGATAAAATTGTTTATTTTTGTTTCGTGCTTTGTTCATAGACGATCTTCAACTGAACATAGTCGAATTCCATTTTCCGCTCAAAAAAAAATCACTCGTCAATACACTATTTTTTATGTATTGCCTATTGAAGTTCTAATGTCAAACGTGACAAAATTTATTTTAATAG